CTGAGGGGTCTCTAGCACTGAGAAGTGGGTTTACACCCTGACGCAGAAGTTTTAATCTCCTTGGCAGGATTCGTGGTAGCTCTGGCTATGATAATGTGGGGCTGTTGGGTTACCAGGAGCGTCGTCTCCTTTTGAATCCCACTACAGCTTGATCAACACCCAGAATTTAGGCTGAGTTAGCTCCATGGCTCAGAAGTGTGAAAAATTCACACCTGAGAGCGGCAGGTGAGCTGAGCTAAGCCCCAGTGTAGACACCTCTGGGTGGGTGGAAGAATTCGTCTTTGACCTAGCGTCCACCTCTCAGGGCAAGTTCTGCAGACCTGGGAAACACATGGTCTTTGTGGGGGATAATCTGACACAGCTCCCCTGGATAGACGGGGTCCAGGCTGGTCATTGCGTCTCTCCCTCTTAATCAGACTGAGCTGGGGAAAGGGTTGGACCTATATAGCTTCTAGCACATGGGTTCCCAAACTGGGGGGGGCGTGAAGAAATTCCAGGGGGGGGGCACGAGGTGACCCAGCCCCACCCCCTGCCCCCCCTCAATCTTCCCCCCTAAGTTTCACTGCTGTTTTTCGGCCCTGGTCAGGTTTTTTTTTGCTCAACAAGTTTTGCTGCTATGGGGTGGGGTGGGGGGGCGGGAGGGTTTCTCAAAAATCAAAAAGGGGGCGTGATGCCGAAAAGTTTGGGAACCACTGCTCTAGCATGACAGGTTCCCGGGCCAGCTCTCGGGGTTTCTGCCCTCCTTGGATTTACCGAGGGCAAGTTGATCTGGAGCATGTTACCACATAGCAGCTTAACTTGACCGCTAGGGTCCATGTGCCCGCCGTCGTGCCCTGCCCTATCGTGGGAGGTGTACCATGGGACGTTATCGTGGCATCACAATAGCCCTTTCCAGTCGCACGAGAGCATTTCCTGGTGTAACACCCCATGCCAATGCTCTTAAGGGAGGCAGCGTGGCCTAGTGGTTAGGGCTCTCGGTTCTGGAAAGGAGCGTAGCCCAGTGCTGATTTGTCTGGACCCATGAGCCCAATTCCCACTCCTTGGGGGCCCCTTGCCCTGTAATGACCCCTCTCCAACTCACTCACTTCCTGCCTTCCCAGTTCTTGCAGGTCTGCAGCTCTCCTACGGCCGGGAGCAGCTGGAGGGCTTTGTAGGGGAGTCCGTGTATTTCCCTGCCCTGCGCCCTGTGGCCGGAGACATCGTCCGCATCCTGTGGTTTTCAGGAAAGCAGGGCACTCACATCGCCGAGGCCAAACCCGAAAGCCGGGCCTTCCGCGTCAATTACGTCCCGTACTTCAGCAACCGGCTGGCCATCAACGCCGGGAACCTCTCGCTGGAGCTGCGAGGGCTGAGGCCAGAGGACCAGGGGCCGTACCGCGCCGTGGTGGATATCTCCTCAGACCCTTCCCATCCCAAGACATTCTCCTACGAGCTGTCCGTGCAAGGTGAGTGCCTCTGGCAGCCAGCACGTGGGTCTGCAGCAATGCTTGGCCATGCAAATGCTTCCATGGATAGGGATGGAATAGTGTAGTCCAGGGGTTCTGAAACGTTGCATTACCACGACCCCCCTCTAAGTTTCTTGTAAGCCACCTCCCCCCCTGAGAAACAACAGTGTAGTTAATTAACTGAGAAGCAAAAGCTTATAGGTTCATGCTATAGACCAGCGGTGCTCAACCTTTTTTAATTCGCGATTTTAGTTGAGCAAAAAAAAGGCGCCGGGAACATATCGTTGCAGCTCCTTTAATTTAAAGCGTCGGTCTGCTCCCCTGCCACTCCCCCCGCCCCTGCTGCGGCAGGTGTCAAGCTGGGAAAACAAAATGGCGGCCAGCACGGCCCTGCGACCCCCCAGGAAGACAGCCGCGACCCCCACGGGTTACGCACCGCTGCTGTCAACACCATGCATTATCCTCTCTCCCCTTCTCCCTTCCCCTCAGCAGAACTTTTTTAGCAGGCTGGCCAGCAGCCCAGCTCAGCCCTGGCTTGTGATGGGTTCGGAACCTACCCCCGCTGCGGCTCTGCATTTAAACTGGATGAGGAGCCTGGTGGGCAGACAGCCTGGCTCAGTTCCGGCTCATGCTGGGTCCAGGATCTCAGACCCTTCCTTAAACAGGGGCAGCAGCGCAGGGCAACAGGCAGCCGGTCCGTGAGGGGCGCTGGTTTTTAAACCGGCTCCCTCACGGACCAGCTCGCACCTCACACGGAGTGACAGGGCCCCGCCCCCAGGGACTGCAGAATAGTCGACTAACGGATAAGAATTCACGAGGTTATTCGACTATTCAAATATCCGATATTTAACATCCCTCCCCCTACGTGGCTTCCTGGCGACACTAGCCCAGGCGTTTCCTGGGTGTTACCCCAGCCCCGCTCCTCTCCACACACACAAGACCCCCCCCCCCAAGGTTTGGGGGGGAGGCAGCCCAGGCTAGCCGGCTCAGAGCAGGGGCTGGGTTAGCACACAAGGCTGTGTTCACTCTGGCTGGTCCCTTTCCCCCCTTTGCAGTGTGAACGCCGGCTAAGCCGCCCCAGTGCTGATAGTCCTCTGATACCTTCCCACAATCCCCCCTGCCTGGGTTCGGAAGGTCTCCCCTAATTCTCTCCCACTGAATCCACCTGAATTCAGGGCACCCCTGCTATGGTGCATAGGACCCCCTGAATTCCTCATGCGCAGAAAGTCACACCTGGGCGAGGCTGACCTGGCCTGTGCTGGCCATCCGGGTTCACTCGGCAAGGAAGGGCAGCTTTGTGATTCAGGCCCTGAGCTGGGACTCAAAAGCACCACCGCCTGGCCATGTGACCGCGGGCAAGTCACAGCGTCCTTCCATGCCTGTTTCCCCATCTGTTCCCCCGTCTGTAGTGGGCGGGAAGCCGAAGAGTCTTCCTTTCATCTGTTTAGACTGTCAGCTCTTGGGGGATTGTCTGCTTCTGGGTCTGTACAGCACCTAGCGCGACAGGGCCCTGGCCCCAGTTGGGGTACGTTCCCAGGGTGGGCAGAGGGGCAGGAGGAGGAGTGGGAAGGGGAGACTGGGCAAATTCTGCAAGTCACGTCGATGGGTACAAATTCCCAGCCCCCGCAGCGGGTTCCCATCAGGCTGGCAGAAGGAAGTCTCGTCTCGTTGCTCGGAAAGTCAGGCCAGGGTGGTGCTAGCTGATAGGTGCTGTGGGGCTCAGGCACAACCTCCCGCCAGGCACATGCTAGTTGTGTAACTTCCTCATATGGCTCAATGCAGAATGAGCCCACAGAGCGCGCGCAGGAATCCTTTCCGCCTGCTTCCGCCTCCCCTCTCCCTCTGCACCGTCTCACTTGCATTGCAAAACCTGCTGCGGCAGCCTTGCCCACACCAATCCATGCTGGTGTCAATAGGTGCGGCTGCATGTAAGCTGAGGTCTAATGGGGGGCACTAAGGGGCAATGTTCCCTCTAATCTTTTCCATGCATGTGCGGAATAATTTTGTTCTGTGCACCAAGCCACATGGGAATGTGCACCACCTGTAGAAACACAAAACCGAGCTGTGGGCACTCTGCTAATCCCCTGGGCAGCATTGGAATCTTTCCTGAGCGACCCCACAAGCGCATAGTTTCCAGGGGACACTGCTAAGGGGTTTCCAAAATTCCAGCAGCCCGTCTGTGTTAAAGTCGCTGCTATGGATTGAGCTGAGCAAGCTGTGGCTGGAGACACAAGTGCTGGAACTCGGGGGGCTGCTGCACCCCCTGGCGTGATGTGGTTTTCTCCTATGCAGGGTAACAGTTTAGTTCCCTGGCGCTCATCACTGTCCCAGCGCCTCTGTCCAGAGATCTAAACCAGCCCCCCAGACATGCACTGCAGGAACCGCCCCCGGTTATTAACCTGCAGCCGTTGTGTTTCACCCCCCTGCAAAGGCCGTCGGCAGGAAGGAGGCAGGAGCGAAGGAGGAGCCATGGGGACCCCCGCAAGAGAAGAATGGAGGACAATGATGGAACCCCCAACCAGCAGAGACCCCATAACCACAGGCGGAAAGGGAGGGAAGCCAACAGCGGCGGGAGGCAACGGGGGAGAGCCGGAAGGCGGTGAGAGCCGGCGTACTTGCCACTGCTCCCTGAAGGGTTATCTCATTGCGGCCGTCTACGGGCCCCTCTGCATCACGGTGGCTGTTGTCCACTTGAAGACGAGGGGCTAACGGGAGAGCAGACGTCCCAGACGCTGAGGCCTGGGGGAGAAGGGAACCCCGAGGCGGGCAGGGTTCCCACATGTCTGGGCTTCCCGGACTTCGCCTCTTTTTCCATCCTCTGTCTCCCACTGGGGGGATTTTTCCAAATAAGGGGCGAGGTCTGGGATTCCAGCAGGGCAGCCCCACGGCTCAGAAGGAGCCGGCGTCCGGCTCCGCGCCCGCCTGGGCCCTCTGCTCCAGCTGCCAGTCCTGCTCACCCTGGCCCCGGCGCCCTGCCCTGGGGAGGGAGAAGCCCCAGGGAGCCTCAGACAGTCAGTTGTCACTGCTCCTGGATCTGGGCCAGCCATCCTGACAGGGAACAACTCGGCCCCCTCCTGGAGAGTGAGGTGGCAGGCTTCCTCTCCTGCCCCACCAGGTACCCCCTCCCAGTACACCCCCCATAGCTCCAAATACCCTCTCCTGCCCCCAAAAACCCCCTCTCAGTACACACACCCCTCCATAGCCCCTAAATGCCCCTCCAGCACCCCAAATACCCCTTGCCAGCACCCCCAAATTCCCCTCCCAGTACACCCCCCCCTCCTGCTTGCCAAATACCCACTCCAGTGTTCCCCAGGGAACAACTTCCTCTCATACCCCTGAAATGCCCCCTCTACCCTCTCCTGCCCCCAAAAACCCCCTCTCAGTACACACACCCCTCCATAGCCCCTAAATGCCCCTCCAGCACCCCAAATACCCCTTGCCAGCACCCCCAAATTCCCCTCCCAGTACACCCCCCCCTCCTGCTTGCCAAATACCCACTCCAGTGTTCCCCAGGGAACAACTTCCTCTCATACCCCTGAAATGCCCCCTCCAGCATCCCAAATACCCCTCCCAATACACACACACCTCCAGCATCCCTCAATTGTGCACCTCCCTCCAAATTCCCCCCCTGCAGCACCCTCTTTTGGGGTACCCCAGGGCAGGAGGCTGTATCCAGAAGGCCACACTGTTGTATGTATAGCAAGCGCTTCTAGAGGCCCCAGCTGAGTGCAGGCCTCTGGGTGGCAGATGTTGCACAGACATGGGGTGAGAGAGGGTCCCTGCCTGTCCTGAACAGGCCAAGGGTCATTCTTGCCATTTACCGACTACAGAGACAAAGGGCAGGAGGGGAAACTGAGGCACAGGGTGGGGAAGATCACCCAGCCGGTCAGTGGCAGAGCCAGGACTAGCAACCAGGTCTCCTGGGTCCCACCTGAGTGCTCCAGCCACTGCCTTCCCCTGCCTACAGTGCTCCGTCTCTCTGGGGAACTGGGGGGGAGCCAGCTCTTGGTGTAAATATGCAGAATAGCCATCAATGGCTCCCGGGAACTAGCAGGAGCATCTGCAAGTTTCATTTCCTAGGCGTGATTCAAGGTGCCAAGGGGACATCAGTGGTTTGGGACCAGGCCGGAGTCAGCATCATACGTAGGCCCAGGGTAAAGCACCCCTGAAGTCACTGGTCCTGGTTCTTATATACACTAAACCTTTTCCCCACCCTGCTGGGGAATTTCAGACTCACTTTCTGGCTGGCCCCTTCAGGCCCTCCCGGCATCAGGCACGAATTGGGGGCTTAAGCACACGTCGAACGTTCAGGTTGGGGTGCTCTGGAGATCGGAAAGCCTAAGGCTGCCCCCTCCCCATTCAAGTGCCATCGTGGGGGTCCACATTTACCTTCCTGACTCGGGCGTGAGAGAATAATTCACCGTATCATGAAGCCTTCCCGAGTTTATAATAAGTGAATTATTTACCGGTGACCCTGGCGAAACGCGGCGCCGTATAAATTATTGAATGGCCGATCTGTCAAAAAGTTCTCATAAATAAGTAATTTGGTGCTGTCTTAATGTTCCCAGTAAATTACTCATTCAATCTCCCGTCTAAATGCTCTCCTGGGGAAATTACTCACGCCTGCTGATTTATGAATTAGGACTGGGCAAATACGGCAGATTACAAATTCCAGTCCATTAGGAGGCCCGCAGTGTTGCTTATTCATGACGTCTCGCTCCACACAAGCTGCCTTGTGTTGCGGTCGCGCTGCAGTCATGCATAGCTGGGCCCTGCTAAGCCGCACAGGGTGGCTTCTAGTCAACCCAGCTCAGTTTACTCGCTCAGCCTAGAGGCCTCAAGATCAGAGTCCTATCGCATTGGGTCCTGCCCAGATACCTAGTAAGAGACAGTCCCTGCCCTAAAGAATCTAAATAGACAAAGCGTGGGAGGGGAAACTGAGGCAGAGCAAGGGGCAGTGACTTGCCCAAGGTTACCCAGTGAGTCAGTGGCAGAGCCTGGCATGCATCCAAATTCTGAGTCCCAAGGCAGTACCCTAACCACTGGACCATGCTGTCCTTGCAATGTTGGTTAGGGTAAGCATAGTTCTATGGAATAAAAATAATGTGATCTATATTAGAGATCTACTAAAAATTATAATGGCTTCTATCATGGATTAATATATGGGCACTGGGAATTTTCCCTTCAAAGTAGGGTTGCTTGGTAGATGTCACAGTGAGATCTAAACATCGAGCCAAGTTTAAGAGCTATGGCCTGACTCTCAGTTAAAGCTAGGCTAGCGTTGCCAGATGGTTTCAAAAAAAATACCAGACACACTTGACATGACATCACAATCGACATTGCATCTTATTTAGAAAACACTGGACATTTCTATTGTCTCAATTTGTTTCCCGGACAGAAAGCTCAAATACTGGACTGTCCAGTTCAAAACCGGGCACCTGGCCACCCTAAGCTCGGCCCCTCTTACTTCACTCTGGCAATCAGATGGAAACCAGCCCTGGCAGGCATTATCCAAATGCAACTTTTCAATGTTTCCAAAATGAACTAGCCTGGAATTCCTATTCCTAGCTTGTCATACCTGAACTCGAGTGGCTGCCTCTAGAGCAAACCCCCTCCCCCCCCCCCCCCTCCTGGCCTGCCTCAGTTTCCCTTGGGTGACATGATGTTGTGACTCCACCCACTGGCTAAATACAAGCTGCCTCACAACACTGCCTACTGAGTAGTTAATCCGCCTGTGAAGCCCCCACAGTCTAAGGCAGGGGGGTTACAGTCGATAGCCCAGCTGAACAGGAGTCCTCGTGTCCGGGCCCTAGCTCAGGGCGAGGCTATCCAAGGTCCAGGGGCTCAGGTCACTGTTCAGTTCACAGGCCCAGCAAAGTAAAGATTAAGGCCTCCTTTGGGCAGAGCGGCCGTTCCAAGGCCCAGCCCTGGGACAGGGCAACAAATGAACAGTATCAACCGTTTGAGACACGGGTCTGTCAGCAGGCTGGGGGGGGGGTTGTGTCTCCCCAGCCCAGGGCCCCAACAGCAGCAGTGTGGGCTGCCACTGGGTCCGCGGGGATCCTGGCCGCAACACGCTGCCCAGTGGACCTCCATGTTCTCAGCCGGCAATGGGCCGGCGATCCCTGGGCTTAGGGTTGCCAGATGGTTTAACAAAAAATACCAAACACCTCCCACCCCTCCCCCCCACCAGGAAAAAATTCTATTGAGAAAAAAAAAGGGGGGGGGGGGGGCCTAAAATATTCTGGGAAAAAAAAAAAAGAGGCGAGGGGTTATAAGCCCAAAAAAAAAGTGCTGCTCCTTTAAATGGCCCTGCCCTCCTCACCCGCCCCCCTCCCCACCAGATGCAGCATGGGAAAGTTGTCCCCGCTGAGCTTCTGCCCCAGGGAAACAGGAATTTTCAGCTTTTTTTTACCAGACGGGGGGACCCAAATAATGGGCAGGCCGGGTGAAAACTGGACACCTGGCAACCCTACCTGGGCTGCTTCCCGGTTCCCCCGGGTCCTGCCTGGCTTCGTCTCTGCTCCTCGCGTCTGCCGGGAAGGACGGTGCTGGCAGAGTGTCCTTGGGCCGGGCCAGGGTCAGGCAGCGGTCCTGGCGGCCCAGCCCAGTCTTCTGGGCCCAGTGGTGGTCCTGGCCCCATCCCGGCTGCTTAGTTCTGCCTTCTAGGGTGGGGCGGTTGAGCCTTCCTCCTCAGGAGACTGGTCAGAGCATCTGGCTTGTTCTGTGACTGTGCCCTAACTGAGCGCTTACCTCCTCCTTTTATACTTCTGGCTCCACCTTTCTACTTCCTGTGGGTGGGGCTAAATTGCTGTGGCCCCACCCACCGGGGGGCCCTTAGGGAGTCCTTCCTCTGAGGGGTCGGAGGGAGGTCAAGCTGCCTCACTATAGGAGATAGTGTACTTTAATCCAGGTCCAAAGCAAACCCAACACCAAGTCTTTGCCCCAGCCTCAAACTAGGCCCAGATACATCTTCCCAAGGTGTCCTCTCCCCAGTAAATCTTCTGCCCACCCTGTCTGGCTCTTCTCCATCTCTCCCCTCAGCACCTGTGAGTTGCTCCCTTATTTTTCCTGTCATGCAGTCAAGGGCAAACTCCAGGAAACTGAATATCCCTACCTAATTTAGGGGATGTGGAGTTCAGCTTAGATTGGTTGACCCATTTCCGTTTTTTTACCACTACACCATGGAGAAAATCTATTTTCCGACTCGCCAGGGAGGTGAAGAAAGTCCTGTTGGGATTAGCTTCACAGGACTGGATAAAGGAGATACAGAAGAGTCTAATGTACTGATCACCCAGATGGCTCTAAGCCCCTTAGTCGATCTATTCCATTTACAATTGCTCTGATTATATGAAAGACATAAAATAGTGCAACAAAGAGGCACGTACATGTGAACGTATGTCTCTCTATGACCACCCTCTGCTGGATGCAATCAGAACTGCTCCTCTGTGGCTCATAAGCACTATACTGTTTGCATCTCATGAGGATCCTCCTTTAGCTCCACTGTTTTTGGAAGGGGAGGGTGTGAGCTCTCCCCGCTGCCACCTGAGAAGTCCCAAGCTGCCATGATGTGAGGCACAGTGACAGCCACAAAGACCTAAGAGGCCACAAGTTCATTACAGTATTTTATACACCATCCTATACCACACACTGTGCTTGCTGTAGGTTTTATTGGCTCTGTAACCATTGCTCCACAAGTGTGCATTTGCATCTGCTCTCTGTAACAGAATCTTCCCTGCCAAGTGCCTTTTGCATTCCGTATTTCCATTGTGTGCAAAGAAATATATTTTCCTGAGTCCGATCCCTAATGAAACCAGCATGAACGAAGCGCTACAGTAAATTGGCAATCCTGATACAAAGGCAAAGTTATCCTCCCTTCCTACACAAACTCATCTAGCCCACCGGCACATTCTTGATTTTATATCCTCCCATATTTCACCTGCAAATCTCTACCGGGGAGGGGTGAGGGGAGAAGGCAGCCAATGCCACATGGGGCAGATTAATCTCCTGTTTCAATAGGAATCCTAGGAGTTGTCTAGAAAGGAGAAGAAGGCTTTCTTACCTTGTGCTGGAGCACACACCTCTTCCTAGGGTTCAACGGGACCAGCTAGCATATAGGGTTGCCAGATGGTTTCAACAAAAATATCCCCCCCCCCTGGGGGGGG